GAGACCTTTGGGAATCTTGCTAGCGAGAATAATCTCAGTGGTGTGCTTGATAGCATGCTCACTAATTTCGTCGGCTCAGTCTGAAAGGCCTTATATTCGTGAAGTAATTTCTCAATAGAAGGAAGATAGGATGAGGAATATTCACCAACTCGCTTTGGATGAGGAGTATTCACCAACTCGCTTAAAGAGCATTGTTATCACATCTTGTTCCAACTTCTTTTTCGAGACCATTGATTTAAAGACTTGGTAGCTCATACAACAAAAAAACAGTAATGAGTCAGATCCAGACTTGTGGTACAATTTAATAGCTTCCAATTCGGACTTTTCGTCCTTTAGCTTTACAATATTCTCTTTGAACTTTATATGGTTGACTTCATCGTGCCAATCCATTACCATAATTAGGTCAAAGGGTAAGTTCTTTCCAATTAAGAAAAACACTTCATGCAATATTCGTTTGCATTCCTTAGTATGAAAATAACACTTTACACGATCGACATATTGAGAGACAGTGATCGTGCTCTTGTCAGCTAACATAGATGCGATAGGTCTTGGCAAGCCCTTTACCTTCATTTCCAAATGCAACTTGCGAATTGCCTTCTCTGAGATATAGGACCACGTCGATCTTGGATCTAACAGAGCACTTACTCGCGTATATGCAATCTCAATGTTTGCGATTATTAACGCACCCTTGGACTTTGCTTTCTTAGCCCATAAACTTCTTAAAGCTATAAGTTCATTTCCAAGTTCGTTAAGGGAATCGTCCTGAGAGACAGAGCATAAGACATTCAATCTGTTAGGGTGTTCTGAACGACGGGCCGAAGAAGAGCCATCCTCTCCGTTATGAGTCGGGAGGTTGAAAGGGGTGATCAGCGCCTTACCTTCAACTAAACCTCCTAAGTAGGAGCAGATGCTACTCCTGCCACTTGCTCTCTTTTGAGTTCCGAATGAGTGGGCACCATGCAATAATATTGTCCTGAGAGACGAAGCATAAGACATTGAATTTGTTAGGGTGTTCTGGACGACGGGCCGAAGAAGAGTCGTCCTCTCCGGTATGAGTCGGGGGGTTGAAAGAGGTGATCGGTGCCTTACCTTAAACTAAACCTCCCAACTAAGTAGGAGTTGATGCTACTCCTACCGGGTGCTCCCTTTTGGGTTCCGAATGAGTGGGCACCATGCATTGGTATGCACAACAGTACTTGAGGCATTGCCTATTGTTTATCGGGTCTTGCCATTCTTCTTGTGTCAGTCCCATCTTTTCCCAAGGCCTACCCACTGCAATGCCGGGGTGCTCGGGAAAGGAGCGTGGTCTACTCTTGTTCTAGTTTAAAGCGGTGCCACCTTTGTTGGCCACCACGACAGTGACGTTACCCTTTCCTAACTCGCTACCGCCAGTAACTCCGTCCTCGGCCTTCAAGGGACAACTTCTCCATCGTATCGTCGTCAAAGACGGCAAGCATGTGATCATGTCGCTTTTGTCGTCATAGGACGCGCTTCCCATACCCACCAATGGGGCCATTCTTTTTTTAAGATGCATAGCTTCCTTTTACTTGTGCCGTTATTTGCTCCCTTTGGAGCGCGAGGTCATGGAACTGTCTGTAATTATACTTACTGGATTTCGCCTCAAGCCAACAACATTGGCTGCAGAGAACACCCATTCCTTTGCTACCTCTCCCAGACATGAGTTAGTGAAAGCCACTTGGCTTTCTCGCTGGACTGGTGCAGTTCCACACTAAGTCTGGATTTTTGCTATCCAGAGTTGTAGTTGTTCTCCTCGCTTCCCATTTTAGGTAAAAGTTATATCTTTACTTTCTCCTTTTTTTTTGGTTTCTCTACTTCCTTAGCCAGTTCCTCCTTAGCGGGCTCCTCTTTCTGTTTCGCGGGTTTCTCGGGTTCTTTCTTCGAACTTCCAGGTTTCTCCGGCGTCACTCTTTTCATTGCATCCTTCATTAATTTCTTTTGGGGTTCTTTCTTTCTTCTCGCCCCTTGGCCTCCTCCTCAACCACCACCTTGTCTTTTCCCTTGACAAGTCTGGTCACTGTCTACAATGCGGCGGTGTTGCTATCTATCTTCATCTCAAGATGGGCAAGGTAAGCCATCATGGTGTTCAAAACAGATGCAAGATCGTTTTTTGTTCCTTCAAACTGAAATTGCTGCCGGATTTCATCAATTTTCTTTTCTTCCTGTTATTTTTCTCTTCTCTTCCTCCGACATTCTTCCATCTTCTTTCTTTCTTCCTTCAATGTTTCTTTCGATTGTTTGATATTTTTCTCCGTAATTTCTTCAGACAATTTAGGTTCTTCCTTTATCTTTCCCCCTCCTTCAGATGTTCTTTTTTGGCCCATTGCTTCCAGATGCTTGGCGACATAGCGATCTAGGGCTAATCGCCCATTCTTGACGAGTTCTTTAACTCGTCTACCGGTTTCCAACATCTGCACGGCGGTGTCAACAACATTCAGTTCAACTTTTGCAGTGAGCAGATTGAACTGACCTTAATGCGTCGTTCAACACCTGGTCCGACTCCATGTATCTCGCCGAGCAGTTGGCGGAGAAAGGCTAGCAATGTTTGCCTTCTTGCATTTATCCGACCATAGGTTCTCAGTTCCCCCCCTTCTTCATTGGCATAGACAGTGAGAGGGATATAAAAGAAGAAAAGAGGGATATATTTAAGGATGGAGGCACTCGAACACTTCCACAGGTAAGTCATGGTCCCCTGTGTGTGAATGTCGCACAATAAATAATCAAAAGACAATAATCAATTCCACTGAAATGGTTTTCGCCTTTCTGCAATCACAGATACAGGCCCTAGAGTTCGATCCCCATACCTCACTTTGCCCATGTACAGTATCAAGTGAACACCGGAGTGTTTGAACCCGTGACCAGTGTTTTAGTAGTTGTTCGTTGTTTGTCGATGGTCTGTGTAGTGGTAGGGGTTCGATCTGTAGGTCTGTCGATTAGGAGTCACAGCTTTGTAGAGGTCGTAGCTGTGGGTATTTTGAAAGGTCAAGGTCATAGCTGCTACAGTCCTGAAAGGTCAAGGTCGTAGCTGCTACAGTACCCGAAAGGCCAAGTCCATAGACTTCTCGAAGTTTCGAAAGAGTCCTTTCAAAGTGTCTCACGTTTAGTCAGAGGCAACTGGGCAAGTGGTGAGCCCAACTGCATTACGTCGGCAGTGCGACTGTATCGAGTTGGCAGTGCAAACCCATGCAGTCAGCGGTACCGGTCCCAGTCAGTCAGAGTCCGGCCAAGCAAGTACTGTGTGGGACTGTGTGCACCAAGGGCTTGGGAAAGGGGCAGACCAACGAGCTACAAAAGTATAAATCAAGAGGCAGCGCTCAGCCATTCATTCATTCGCTGCGTAAGCCATGCGGCAACGCTGCTACAACGTCTTGTGCGAAGGTGGTCTGAAGGTTGCCGGAAGACGAAGTGGGCTGAAGAGAGACAACGTGGTCATATTTAGTAGAAGTAGAGCGGCCATAACCGCCGTAGTGTTAGAGGTTAGTGAGCATGTACAAGTGAGTGTGCGTGGGTGTATTCAGGGTGATCCAGTGTGCGTGGGCATATTCACGGTGATCCAGAGTTGAGTGCGGGGGAACGGTGGTGTTGAACACAGTGACGAGAGTTGTGATGTGCATCCATAGTCTGTTGAAGCGAGTTTACATTTGAACTGTGTTCTTGGTTGCCATATCTCTGAGCTTGGTGTGGGTGCTGTGCGCCGGTGTGAAACACCATCTGTTTGCATGTATGTGAAGTGGAAGTGAACGCGAGTCTGATTGCATTGGTATAGGAGCTGGTTCCCGTTACCCCACGCGCCATAGTCGTTGCTAGCAGGGAGGGAGTTCTGCCAGTCAGGCGCCATTGCCGAGGTGCACCATCGGAGAAGAGGAGCCCGCCATAGTTGCGTTGCGGAATGAGGTGCCGCGTACCTGCATAAAAGACAATGAGAAAAGAGAGAGAGAGAGAGAGAGAGAGAGAGAGAGAGAGAGAGAGAGAGAGAGAGAGAGAGAGAGAGAGAGAGGAGCGATACAAGATTGTTGTGCAAACCAAGGAGAAAGCGGTCATAGCCGTGGAGCTCGGGCAGAGGGTTATCGAGAGGAAGAAAGGTGAAGCGAGGGAGAAGGAAGGAGGGACCAAGGAGAGAGAAGCGATAGCTGAGGAAGAAGGAGGATACCGAAAAAAAAAAGAACAAAAAAAAAAAGAAAAAAAAAAAAGACATAGTCGGGGGTGCAGAGAGAAAGAAAGTGAGGAAGAAGAAAGGTGGGGGAAAGAGAAGCGACGGTTGGTGAGGAAGAGAGTGGCAACAACCATAGCCGAATCAAGGGTTGACCAAGGCATTGACCGAAGGGTTGACCAACGTTGACCAAGATTTTGACCGGAGAGTTGACCGGCGGGTTGACTGGTGTTGACCAAGGTGTTGACTGATGAGTTAACGAAGCGTTGACTAGTGTTGACCGGGGCTGTTGACCACGAAATTGACCAAGCTGGAGTTGGTATACTCTCGCGAAGACTTCGGCCTATCCCCTCGGCCTACGGATGTGCACTCACCCCATGGTACTTGCCAAGTCTGTCTGTCTCCTCTTTCTGCATCGAGTCTCTTCTGTCCAGGTGAGATAGGAACTATGTGTATGTGGTCGTAGAGCTTTGTTGACCAAACCCACACAGGCTGAGTAGGGCTAAAGGATGTGTCTGACGACTCGATTGACCCGGAGGACACGAACCCTCCCAAGGACCGGTACAGACCGGCGGGCTGGTCGGTGTGGCACAGTAGGCCAAAATACGAGTTGTGGGCTGCACAACTAGCTGTAAGTCTTGAGAGGACTTGCTGATCGCGTCATCCTGTTTGCAACATTAAATCATTTCTGAGGAGTTACGAGGGATCTCCTTAAATGGCTCCTGATCAGCAGTAAGTCCTGTAGTGACAACCTTAGTTTAGGTCCTGGCTAGAGACCATAGTTGACAGGATCTTGTTAAGATTCTGTGGTCCTTAGATTGAGTCAGTCTAAGTTAAGTCAGTCAACGGGGTGAGTCTAAGTGGTGAGGAGTGGAACTAATTCTGGGTTGTACACCTTTCACCATGGTTGACACGCGTAGTGGCAAGAGCACCACCCCTTACACCAAGGCTCAGGAAGAGCAGGTCGCCGCCGTCCTTAGAGAGAGAAAAAAGAAGCAGGCCAACAAGGAGTTGATTAAGGAGGCCAAGAAGCTGGTTGTGCAGGAGGAGCAGGCGGCGAAGAAGAAGAAGTTGGAAGAAGAAATGGTGAGGTTAAAGGAGGAGGAAGAGAAGATGAAAGAAGTAGATGAGGAAGAAATTGAGGAGGTAGAAGAGGATGAACTGGAAGAGCCTTCGTTCAGGAGAGGAGCAGAGCAGAGGGCTGAGTCCAATGGCACAAAGGAGGACTTGAGGATGGAGAAAAATATTTATGAGTGGGTAGCTAATTTATCTCTGGGAGAAGAGGAAGAGGTCATGCTGTATGTACCCCTAGAGGAGAAGGAAGTAGTTATCTGGGAGTGGGAGGCAGAAAAGGATCCCTTAAGACGCCAGACAATCAAGGAGGAGAAAAAGTTGGAGTGGAAATTGCGTCTTATGAGCGGGAGAGGAAAATAAGGATGGACGAGGCGAGCCAAATAGCGAAGGAGTTGGAGGTGATTAAAGAGCAAAGAGCGCAGATCCAGGCATAAGCGGATATACAGGGGAAATTAGCATTGAGCTCCTGGCTAGGGTGTGGGATGAGCAATATCAGTTTTCGAGAGCCCAAGATATGACCTTACACTCCATTCGCCCAAGCTTAAGGGATTTCGCACGCGAAATGGTGCGGCATGTGGGCGCAGAAATGAAGGCAAGGATAGAAGGCATTGAAAAGTTTTGCACAGGCGCCATTGAGGGCTTAAAGTTGGTTGTGCCAAAGGAGGAAGAGCCACGCCCCCGTAGAGAGCTCGTTAAGATAAAGTTTCTTGAGTCCTACGGCGAGAAGAAAGAAGAAAATTTTGATAATTGGGAGGCCAACGTAAATACATATATTTATTTACAGCATATCGTGCCAGAGGAACAAGTCCTCATTGCCTTCCAGGCCCTCAAGGATGAGGCTGCCAGTTTCGCTAGATCGCTCGCCCGCGCCGCATAGTGCGAGAACAATATTGTCGCCTATTCCAAGGTCACCCCACTCCCTGAGTTCTTTCGGCTCCTTAAGGAGCGATTCGCAGATGTCACGCGAGGCGTTAGGGCCTTTGACAAACTGCARACTATCCACTCACGCCAGTGGAGGAGTGCCAGAGCACTCAAAGGCGTAATGGACGAGCTTGTAGCCGTCTCAGACCACGGGGTCATTAAGCCCCAGTTGGTCAATCTCTTCTATCGTGCCATGCCAGAGCCCCTACGGGTGCACTTCTTTGAGAAGAGCCGGCAACCCACCATGACAAAACTTCGTAGTAATAAAATAAATACGCGCAACTAACTAAATGCCATAAAGGTTGTGCATACTCGGGCTTGGTTGGTGGTGATTTCTTTATGTACATTCTTACCACCACTCGCCAGAGAGAGCTTGTGGAAGTAAGTAAACAATGGATCAGTGAGCAACTGTAATCGCCATCATCTTGGTCTGAGGGGCGATTACGTATGGCACTCACTCTTTACGTATGACACTCACTCTTTCTTTTCTTTTCTTCGAGCCTAAATCGGACGAAGATAGAGTCCTTCTAAATTTGTCAAAGGTTTAAAGACGTGACTTGGGTTGTCTAGGCTCAAATAAAATTTCACTATATGCGGGAACGTGCTCTAGCCTTCGGCCCGATGCGTTTAGTAGAGAGGTGGTGGTGTTCGAGGAGCAGTCGATGCCAGTTTCCACTTTCTGGCACAAGGACCTAGACAAGGGTAAAAAGTGGAAAGGTCGTACCATCTCAGGACAGGTAAAAGGAAAGGATCATATGATCCTGATGTTAGATAAAGGTGGTACAGATGAGGTCCCATATAGCCAGATAGAGTGGGGCCTAGATGAGGAGGACAGTAGTAGGGGTCAGGGGAGGACCTACGCTGCTGTTGTGGCTGGAGGGAGGCTGCAAGGAAGAGGAGGAGGCTCGGGCCAAGGGGGTCGGGCCTCAAGTGTCCGAGGACAAAGTGTTCAGGGGGTTGGTGGCAGAGGAAACCGCAAAGAGGGAGGTAGGGGTCAAGGTCCCCCACCAAATCGCTCACGGTCCTATAGGTCACCTCCACGTCGAGGTGGATGGCATCCAGGCTTGCTGCAAGGTAGGCCACGGGAAGATTTGGGCTTAGAGCAGTCAGTGTGGCAACGGCGAATTGACCAGGATCAGTGCATCTGCTGCGGTGATCCTAGTCACATCATCAAATTCTTCCCGAAGCATAGAGAAGCTCGGTATGCTGCACAAGCAGCAAAAGGCAACCGCTGGTAGGGGTCGCAACTGCCCTTACCTCTAGGCCATGTGGATACGAGTGCGAGGACCACAGAGGAACTCCCAAACCACATGAGCCTATGGCAGAGGTTGCTGGGAAGTACCTAGACAGATGTCCATGGACTGCTTCTGTAAGAGTCTCTCTAGGTACTTCCCTCACAGGTGTGGCTGAAGAGTTGAAGGAGAGGATGCTTGCTTGGGCCAAGATGAAGAAGGATGCCAAACGACAACTAATGTTAGTAGACGTAGAGATTTTTAGAGGTAGAGTAGGGGCCCTTATAGAAAGTGGGGCCACCCATAGCTACATCAATAGGAAAGCGCTGGAAAAGTTGAAGTTGAATTTGAAAGTCCAAAAGTTAGGAGACCCTATAGTCAGTATCCTCGCAGACAATCACACTATGTGAGTTGAGGATTACATCGAGGGAGTCCAGGTGTACTTTCACCTAGAGAAAGATGGGAAGGTAGAGAAAGTTCTCCATTCCCTGACTCTCCTCGTAGAAGACAACCTTCCTTTTGATATAGTCCTAGGAATGGACTGGGGAGAGGCAGCAGGGGCTACACTCCATTTGAGAGAGCACGAGTGTAGGCTCCCTAGTCCCACAGGTGAAGTTAAGACTGCTCGCCTGTTTCATGTGTCTGGAGTAGACAACACCCTGGCACATTCCTGCCTCAGTGCTCCCGCGTTTGCGCGATTAATAAAGTCGAAGCAATTAGAAGAGCAGGTTTTTGTAGCCTACGTGAGGCCAGTCACTGAGTCTAAGGAGGAGACACTCATAGACCCTGGTAGTGCCAAGTTGTTGGAAGAATATACAGACCTAGTTAAGCCGCCTACAAGAGTAGTGCCGCGGCCAATCCAACATCGCATAGAGACAGAGCCTGGCAGTATGACTCCAAAGGGAGCGATTTACAGAATGTCCCCAAGGGAGTTGGAGAAGCTATGTAAGCATTTAGACGAGCTCCTTGAGAAGGGTTGGATTAGGCCCAATTCGTCCCCATTTGGAGCACCTGTTCTCTTTGTCCCCAAGAAAGAGGGAGAGCTTAGAATGTGTATAGGCTCTTAATGCTATCACGATGAAGAATGCAGAACCACTGCCCCGTATAGACGGTTTGTTAGACCGGGTGCAGGGCTGCAAGTATTTTTCGAAGATAGACTTAAAGTCCGGCTATCATCAGATAGAGGTTCATCCCGATGATCAGCACAAGACAACATTCCGGACTAGATATGGGCACTATGAGTCTATAGTTATGCCCTTTGGACTAACCAATGGGCCGACGACTTTCCAGCGCTGCATGAATGATTTGTTTAGGCCGTGGTTAGATAGATTTGTTGCAGTATATCGAGATGATATTCTAGTGTTCAGTAAGACCCTCTAGGAGCATGAGGGTCATCTGAGGCAGGTCTTGGAGAAGCTTAGAGAAGCTAACTTCAAGATCAACGCAAAGACGTGCGAATGGGCCAAGACACAGGTTTATCTGAGGCAGNGACACAGGTTTATCTGAGGCAGGTCTTGGAGAAGCTTAGAGAAGCTAACTTCAAGATCAACGCAAAGACGTGCGAATGGGCCAAGACACAGGTTTTGTATTTGGGTCACGTCTTAGACGGAGACAGCGTTAGACCTGAAGACAACAAAATCACAGCGATTAGAGATTGGCCAATGCCCCGCATACTGATAGAGTTGCGGTCGTTCTTCTTAGGCCTAGCTAATTACTATAGGAAGTTCGTTAGGAACTTTTCCACCATCGCCGCACCCCTTCGCATGTTGCTAAAGAAAGAGGCAATCTGGAAGTGGGTCAAGGACTGTAAAGCTGCCCTGAAAAGATTAAAGCGGGCCTTGATAGAATACCCTGTCCTTAAGGTAGCCGATCCGTCCCTGCCTTTCATTGTTGTCACTGACGGGAGTCAGTATGGCATAGGTGTTGTTTTACAGCAAGACAATGGCAATGGATATAGGCCCGTAGAGTTGATGTCCGCTTGGATGCCTTTAGAGAAGATGGCAACATCAACCTATGAGAGAGAACTCTATGCTCTCAGGCAAGCACTAGATCATTGGAAGCACTACTTGCTTGGGAGACACTTCAAAGTCTATTCAGACCACAAGACTCTTAGGTGGTTGAAGACTCAGGCCAAGATGACACCTAAGCTTACTAGGTGGGCCGCAGAGTTAGATCAGTATGACTTTGAACTGAAGCTAGTTAAAGGGAAGTACAATGTAGTAGCGGGCACTCTGATTAGAAGAGCTGATTACTTTGGGGCAATAGTCCACTATCTGGATATAGGGAGAAGACTAATGTAGTTGACCGCTTGTGCGTTCCCAACAGTAAAGAGATCCGTCATTTGATCTTAGGGGAATGCCATGATACAGAGGGACACTTTGGTTGGCAAAAGACACTAGCCAACCTCATGTGCGCATATATCTGGCCTGGTATGAAGGCCGACTGCATAGAATATGTCCGCAGTTGTAAAGTCTGTCAGCGAAACAAGACTGCTACGAGAGCCCCTCTTGGTCTTCTCAGACCCCTGCCTATTCCTGACAATCCCGGAGATTCGGTGTCCATCGACTTTATGGATACTCTGGTCAAGAGTAGGCATGGCAAAAATCAAGTCATGGTCATAGTAGATAGATTTAGCAAGTGCGCAATTTTTGTTCCTTTGCCTGCAGAGGCACACACTGACTTAGTAGTTCAAAAGTTTTTTGACCATTGGGTCACTGAGCATGGTATACCACTGTCGATAGTTAGCGACAGGGATACAAGATTCACTAGCCAGAATTGGCAGGAACTGATGAGAGTTTATGGCTCAAAGTTGTGAATGTCATCTGCTCGTCATCTTAAGACTAACGACCAGATTGAACAGATGAACAAGCTCCTGCAACAAGTTTTTAGAATGTACATTAGGCCCGATCAGATTAACTGGGATGAGATGCTCCCAAAGGTAAGCCAGTGCCTACAATAATAGCGTGCACTTATCTACGTGTCGCACTCGCATCGAATTGCACAAGTCCTTCAGACCGCGCAGACCGTTCGAGGGATTTAACCGGGGTCAGACTTAGAGGCTACCACCTGGT